GGGGCTGGGGAAAGCTGGGCTAATTCTGAGTGACAGCAAATTCAACACTAAGGAACAGAAATGCAGGGCAAATGGGCCACTGTAATTCCAATTACGTTCAATAAGAATTACCACATTTTCAAATTCACAAATGATGTGATACACTCAAAGTCTGGTCACATCCAATGAACTGTCAATGCTGGCCTAGAAGTCCAGTCCTGATCAACTACTATCACAGCCAGGTGCAGCACACCATAGTTTACTGAGCAACACACAGGCAGGGTCATAATGGAAGAGAAGGCTCCAGGGAGAACTTACAGCATCTTCCAGAACCTAAAGGGGGCCTCTTCAATGTGCTTTGAAAGTGTGAAGGAAGCAGCAGCAAAATGGAAGGCTGGAGGTTTAGGAAGATGCAGTGCTAACTTTTGTAAATAACAGCAATGCCCCCATTGGAACTCGGCAAATGAGCCAGGGGAAGCCAAGACTCATGAAAATCAGGATTTGAAACCAAATCGCCTGCATCCAATTTGACTGGATTAGGTTTTCTTCCTTACTACTCTCCACAATTTTTTTTTTAATTATAGAAGCTGCCAACAACTAGTTTAAGAAAATATTCTCTGAAGTCCCCTGAAGAGAGAACAAAGATAACTGTTGATACAGTTGACATTACGTAATTAAAGTTACTCCTTGCTTCCCTTCCCATCACAAATACAGTTTTGTTACATCAATTTCTCTGAGACTCACAGTAGTCTGGAGCTACACTTTCACCAATATTAGTCTCCCTTTTCCTAGATATGATAGGTTTGTAGAACAATTTGTTGTATGCCAGCGTTTAAAGGACTGTCAATCTAGAAAGTCTTTAATTTCCTCCTTCCATGGCACACAGACCTTGAATCATTGACCACAGTAGTCAAGCATGAAACTAAAACAGAGCACAGATCTACTTACTCTGATTGTCTCAAACTAAAGTACTGTGAGAGAAAGCAGCTGTGAGGGTACACTTTTGTCTCCTCCCGTCTCCCAGGACTAGCAAGGATGGAAAAGTAGAATGTGAACGAAGAGCAAGAGGACTACTGATAAGAAAGGGAGTGCAAGGATGATTCAGAGTGATCTGAGCATCACTGTGACAAGGAAAGTGATTGTTCTGAAACTCAGAGCTTTTTCCCAGGCTGAAAATGCTTTTGTTTGTCTGTTTAAAATGAAGTCAAGCTGATTATAAAGCAGGCCTTTATTCAAGCCCAAGAACTGCTACAATTAAATGACACACAACTTTCAGGGCCAAGTTCTTTTTCCCGCAAGCCTATGTCGAGGCTGGGGAGCAATCTCAAGCTGACATGGATATTAGGCTATTATTAGGAAGAAGGCTACCATGAACTTCAGAGGAAACACTTAAAGTACTGCAGGATGGAAACTTCAATCACTGAATTGCAAGAAATTAACTTAAAGGGAAACATTAGAAAGCATGCAATTATTTTCAAGGAAATTTAGGAAAGATGCATATGCTTGCATTTGTGGAGAAGCTGCTTGTTCTGTGAAAGAACTGCTTGCCCTCTAAAGCACATAGTTAATAACTGTCTCCCCAAAAACCCTGCTTGTGTGATGCAGTTATAAAACCACTGCATGTGCGCAGTGAGAGTAATGAAAATCACTGTATCTATATGCAGCATTTGGAAGCACTCTTTGAAAAGTCAGAGTTTCAAAATATACACATATTCATACTTCAAAAACAGAGAATAAAAACATTTTAGAATATCAAAAAAAATCCCCCAAACCTCCCTCATGTATATTGTTATTTCTGGTTTTACAAGTTTGGTTTTTTTTTTTTCATTAACTGTAACAATCTAAAAATTCAAGTTTCTGGGCTCCCCTTTTAGAATTTCCATTTTTACCTCCCACAAGAGATACTTTGACTCTGTTCATCTTTGAGTCCACGGATTACAAAGGCAAGTACACCCAACCCACCCACTCCTCCTCTCCCATTTTAAGTTTCTGCTACATGTTTGTAGCAGGGTCTGATTTTCTTCACATCACATAAAAACTCTGCAGACCAAGTGATAAAATATAGTCCTACTGTACTCATGGACACTTTTAGCACACACATGACATCAGTATCTGTGGTCAGCAGGCAGGGTTTTAAAGCACAGCAAGCTCAAAGCAGCTGTTGATTTCACAAACACACATTCCTAGAAAAAATGATAGAATAAAGGGTGTGCAGAGAAAGAAAATCTTTATTGAAATATTGTAGTACCAAGCTTAAAAACTCATAAGACCTACAAAAAACCTTATCATTAAGATTCTTCATACAAATTCTTTCTACTTTACAAATACAGTGATGTGTGCAAAACTCTTGAACTTTTACTTGGGGAAATCATTCACACAGATGAAAACTCACAGTGATAACATGCTTGGTAGTATCTGTCTTCTGCCACAGAGAAGATCAAATGGCCAGTGCTACTTATTAAAGTTGAGTTTTTATAACAAGATGCATTTCTCAAAATTACACAGCAAAATGCTGTAATTAAATATATATATATATAAGAGGTAGGGTTATTCAGAAGTGCTGAACAAGAAAGGATGTAACCACTGAGGCACCAAGCAATCAGCCCTGCCCCTGTGGTCAGTGTGTAACTCCGGGCTCACCCAGATGGAAGCTGCCAGGGCCCCCTCGTGGTCACGATGCGCACGATAATCGCAGATGCTCTTGTGCCTCACTGCACCTGCACATTTTAAAAATCAACAGAGCCAATGAAAGCGCCCCTGTCACCACTGCTGTGACAGAGCACGCTGGCAAACCTTAACTGGGGCACAAGAATCCTTCTTACAGGCAATGAGTGCCCTGGGGTTTTCCCAGCCTTACTAAAAGCCAAGACACTTCCAGCACTTTGAGTAAATGACAGTTGTACAAATTACCATAGCAGAGACCAAGACCCTATGTTTGTGACAATGGACAAAAGAGAGCACACAGGAAGCAAAGAACAGGACATGCACATAGTTCCAGTCCCACTCTCCAGCTGCAGGTACACTTTGTGGTAATTGGGAGTGGGGCTGCAGCTGAGCCTCATCCCAATGGGCACAGCTGTGAGAAGCAGGTGAGCAGCACTGACAGCAATGAGCCGGGGAGCGCCCAGGGGCACTGACCAACCACCAAAGGGAGCAGAGGGCACACAGGGGCAGTGCATACGAGGGGTAGGAAAGGTTGGGCTAAAGAACATGATGAGACACTTGCCGCCTTCTGAAGTGATACAGTGTTACTCTGCATGGGCAGACGCCTGAAGCCTTCAAAAGTGGCGTTACTCTGTATGGATTGAAGCTTTATGAAATTGTATGATGATACTCTGTATCGTGGCTGTCTCTGCTGTGGCATGTGCTGCAACACCTACCATTCTATGGCTCAGGACTTGATACCATAACGGTGTCTTTCTATTTAGCAGATCAGTTTTTTTCTTGAGCTTGCCCAATCTTTTTCTAAGGCCCATCAAAGACTTTAGCACTCCTAATTCCTGGATGAAAAGAGGCCAGAGGTGTTCTCACTACAAGCAGTATTTCTTAGTTCTGCATGGAAATAGATACATATAAAATTATGCTTCCTCTGTAACACTGAAAGACTCAAGAACCACTACCATCTGCAAATCAGAAATAAGGATCTAACAGATTTTCATGCCAGAACTGTTGCAAGCAGCTTGCTTATCCCAAGGAATAAATCTGCTCCTCTAATACAGAGGTCATACTACCTGTCCTTGCTTCAAGACAGTGTCACAACTCACAAAGCTCAGTGCAAAGAGGCACACAGTGATATCAGTGTCACTAAGAAGTAAATGAAGTCTAAAGAGTGCCTCATTTAAAGGTCCACATTCAGGCCTGACTATGACCTTCCATTCAGTTTGTTAAATGTGGGGCTCAGACATTTCTCCTTGGATGATTACCATGACCCCTCTCTGCCAAAGATATCTTTACATAGTTTAAATCAAAGAACTGCCTTAGGTCACATTTATCCCCATCACTCAAACTGATACAGGTCACTTCGTAAATATTCTTCACCGATCTAATTTATGAAATGGAATGTTGTATTTTAAGGCTAACACACTCTCTTAGGAATATGCCATAAAGCCGTGGATATTTGTTAGTTAATCCATGAATATAATTTAATTCAGTTCAGAAACAAACTTGCATATAGATTTCCAGGTTAGACACAAAACAGGAAGTTAGGTACAGTTCAGATTCCAAAATGTCAATTTCCCTGTAAAACCCCCACAGCATTTCTATGTTTCTGCTGTTTGTTGCACAACTTTTTAAAACTAGCACATTTCCAAAATAACCAGGAACATTTCACAGATGTGTTTTCAGTGTTGATCATTTAGGCAGCCCAGAATTTTAAGAACATTTTAAGTGTTTCTAATCCTCTCAAAACTGAGGATATGTTGGTGCTGCCTGAGGTTAGCATGATAGTACACTGAGATTATTTACCTGCCATGCAAAACAGGTGGAGTTCAAGCTACCCCACTTAAAAACTTCAATAAACAAACAAAAAAAAAAACCACCTAAATAGAACTCAATTGTCAGGGCACAACAAGGGACTTTATTTTCAGTCATTATCACAACTCAGAATGACATAGATATCAGACTTGAACATAAGGACATGTCCTGTTCTGGTAAGCTGAAATTAAACTTTTCTTTCTCACTAGCTAACTTAACCCTCCCCTTTTTAAAAAGAAATAAAAACCTTTTAAAAAGAAATAAAATCCTTTTTGCTGAAAGTATCATTCTTGCATGTCTACCTTCTTGTACACCACGTGAGAACAAACCACAGACTTATAAATCATAATTCTGTTCTGCAGCAGAATGCCTGAAAGTTAACCCGTTTATGACCGACTATGAGCATTTAAGCCCTATTAAGTTTGAATACTGGTGCTTTTATCAGTGTTTTCAAAATGAGGTGATAGGTCTTCTAACAGGAACATCAGCAAAATGTCAGGAGTCTTATGGCAATCCCATTAATATTTCTTCTGAACAGATGATTTAAATCATTTTCTGGAAAACACAAGAAGTTTCACTTAGACTAATAGAAGATGGAACCTGGTGACATAATTATCTGTTTCTAGAGTGTATATGGACAAATTGTTTCAAGTCTTATCAGTAGGTAAAAGTGTTTATCCTCTAACTGAGTGCTGCATATTGCATAATCCAAAAGGATTTGATGACACTAAATATTTTATTAAAAAGCATTCTGTTAAGCTTAATATCTCATAGGCCAATCTCATAAAACTACAATAACTACAAATTCAGTACTTCTATTCAACCTAGTACACAAGACTTCTGAGAAGCCTTCCAGCATTTTATAGCAGTTTTTTCAGTGTTCAGCAAACATTACTCTATTTGCTAAACAATATCAGACTGCAAAATTGCTCTTACTGTTGATAGATCAATAATGACACGGGAAAAGTCATTACCTCCGTGGCAACAGAGTGGCAGCTGTGGGAGGAATATAGCGCGTGCCGCTGCTGCGCTCCGACAGCCATGCCTCGGCTTCCTCACGTGCTGCTCTCTCTGCAAGCCTGGTATGCCCAGGGTACCACCAACCAAGGGCACCTCTTAGACCACAGAGGATTAAATACAGCTCTGCTGACGTGATTGCTGAAAGAAAATATGCTCACAAGGGTGTGTTACGCTTGAGTCTGATGTCTTTATGTTACTTACTTCTAATGAACCGTCCGTTTGTAGGAATAGCTAGGACAAAATTCAGGAAGGCCAATACACACTATTCTGTTTGTAGCCCAATATTTTGTTGAAAGAAATCACTTAGCAGTCTTTAACAATAAAAAGATATCTTTCTTGTCAATCAATTTTTATTTAATTCCACTTTGACTCCCCAAGATCTAGAAGTGGCAGGAGTCTTTATACTTCATTAAAATGACAAAAGAGACCCTTTGAGATATTAAATTTAATACTTGTCATGTCTTGGTATATTGAAACAGTCCAACAAATAGGACAACATACTTTTGCTCTGCATAAGTTACCGCAGTTCCATCTAGCACAAACGGAACATTTTTTTTCATACTTCACAACCTTCACCATGTTAATCACAACATATTAACCACAGAAAGCCAAAACTCCTCTGTGTCTTGATCACCATGGCTGAGCCTGGCTTGTGATGTTTTGCTTTCAGCAACTCACCAAACTCACAAAATACATGGTGCTCATCAGTAACACAAGATGTGAACTTTGCCTCCAGATGAAACATGGAAAGTATTTCCTCATAAACACATCTACTTTTACATACTGCAGCAACACTGTATTCATAACCTATTCACATGGGATGACAAAGGGCAAGTTTGCAACAATTCCCTTTGGAATCTGTTTTTAATAAATTTAAATAAAAGGCAACAGAAGCGATCCTGAGGGTGGCTTCAAAAAAATCAAAACGAAGCTGTCACTCAAGCATCAGCTGGATTCCACAAAAAACAAGAATTAGGCAAGCACTCTTCTGAATGCTGAAAACAAGCTGGTCTGTAAAGCTCTCACAAGAACAGAACTGGATGGTAAAAGTTCTTTTCCTTGCAAATATAAACATGAGAAATGGTCATTAATATACCAAAGTCCAGATGCTACAGCTGCAATATAAATTAGCACTCAAAATACACTGTGACTTGTTATTTGTGAGAGACTGTATTTTAGTACAGAGGAAAACTCATCAACATTTTGTTCTACTTACAGGATAGGCCCTGCTGCTTTAGGAGACCACCACGCTGTGCGCCAAGTTCTTGGAAAGCATACGGCATCTGCCCAGGAGAGCGAGCAAAGCTGGCTGCACGGGCAGCCATCTGCAGGACACCTTCCGTTCCAAACCCAGCTCTTCTCTGGCTAACACTAGGCAGTGATGCCCTTGCTGCAGCCCCGACTGAACCATCCTTCTGCGCAGGCAGCCAGCCCAATCTTGTTCCCATTTTTCCATCCCGCTGCCACCCCTGCCAGGTGCTCGGGAGAAAAGGCCAAGCTGTACAAAACTACTCGGGTCTCCACCATCAGCACCAAGCCCGAAAAGCACCGCTACTTTCTCAGGGACAAACCGCCCGCTTTATCCCATCAAAAATCATCCAAACTCGGACAAATGAACGCAGTCAAATCGGTCCCCGGACACAGCCAAAGCCAGGAAGGAGACAGACGCATGCAGCAGTTTGCCGGCTGCCCACATCCAGCCTCCGCCGCCTACGAGGACAGAAGGTGCCGACTGAACGGCGCTGCTCGTCCGAGAGCGGCTTCCCCGCTCTCACTGGCGCACCTGGCCCGCTTTAGCCCCGCGGCTTCACCCCGCTCCGCACAGCCGGCGGCATCCAGCGCAGCCCGGCTCCACCAGCCCCTTCTGCAGCGACCTGCCTTCACCCTCAGGCAGCCCCGGCCCGAGGGAGCCCCGCCACCGCCTGCACCACCCAAGGGCCGGCGGGGTAAAACCCAGACCCCGCCCGAGGGCCGGCGGCGCGGGCACGGCCCGGGGGTCTTCGAGGGCCCACAGGCCCGAAGGGGGAGGCTGAGCACAGCAGCGGCCGCCCAGCAACGCCTCCCTGCCGTGCTGCTTGGCGCTCCCTGCGGACCCGACGGGGGGTGCGGGAGGAGGAGCGCGGCCCGTCCACCCCGGGGAGAGGAAGCGCGGCCCGTCCATCCCGGGGAGAGGAAGCGCAGCGCGGCCCGTCCATCCCGGGCATGGCGCAGGGCCCGGGCGCGCGGACCGGCAGCATCCCTTGCGTGCGGCCGCTACCCGGAAACGGAAGAAGCCTCACGCCGATCGCCCCCCGAGTATCCCTAGCAAAGCCCCGCCCCGGGGCAGTCTGACCAATCGCGTCCGGGGGGGCGGGAATAATCGATCCACGTTGGATTGACAGGTCTCTCTCCCAATGCAGCCGCAGCCGCTCTGTTCCCTCCACTAGGAAAGCGGAGCCATCTCTGGGTTGCTGGGCGGGACAAGTCTCGCTGTACCTCAGCGCTATTGGCTGTACAAGCTGATTGGCGGCTGCCTGCGCCTATGCCGAGGAAGCTCGCCGGCGGCCCGTCGCGCCGTGCGCCAATGGGCGGGCGGTGCGGGCGCGGTGCGGCGGTGCCGGCGGCGGAGCGATGAGAGCGGCGGTGCGGGCGGCGTGGCGGATCGGAACCGCCACCGCTCTGCGGGGCCGGGCCGGGCGCCCGCTCAGCCAGGCGGCCGGGGACGGCGGTGGGGCCGAGGGCGGCGGCGGCTCGGGTTCGCGGGAGGCGGTGGAGCGGCTGGTGCGAGAGCACCCGGTGGTGGTGTTCATGAAGGGCAGCCCGGCGCAGCCGCTCTGCGGCTTCAGCAACGCCGTGGTGCAGATCCTGCGGCTGCACGGCGTGGAGGATTACCGCGCCCACGACGTGCTGCAGGACCCCGACCTCCGCCAAGGTCAGCGCCCGGGTCACCTCTGGGTGCCGCCTCCCCGGGGCCTGGTGGGGAACAGAGCCGGGCCGGTTCCCGTGTGGGAAGGGCCCTCGGGAGCTGCCGGAGGGCGGGCTTGTCTTAACGCCCCGACCTCGGGCACTGTGGGAGCGGGCCCTGCCCGCTTGTCCCAGCTGTAACTTGCCTCTTCTGGCTTTGTTGGGTGGGCTGCGTTGGGCTCTGTTATTTTTTAACGAGGCTAGATGTGGGGAGAAGGACAGCGGAGCTGGGGAAGGGTCTGGAGCTCGTGTCCTGTGAGGAGCGGCTGAGGGAGTTCGGCGGTGTTTAACCTGGAGGAGTGCCGTGGTGCATGGGACCAGCGGCCCTATTACTCTCCGCAACTGCACGAACGGAGGTTGTAGCCAGGTGGGGATCGGCCTCTTCTCCCAGGCAACAAGCGGCAGGACAAGAGGACAGCTGTAAGTTGTGCCAGGGGAGCTTTAGGTTGGATACTAGGAGGAATTTCTTCACAGAAAGGATGATCAGGCATTGGGATGGGCTGCCCAGGAGGTGTTGGAGTCACCGTCCCTGGAGGTGTTTAAGGAAAGATTGGACTTGGCACGTAGTGCCATGGTCCTGTTGACAAGATGGTGTTCAGTCATGGGTTGCACTCGATGATCTCAGAGGTCTTTCCTGACCTAATTAATTCTGTGATTCTGTTTGGGTGTTAGTAGAACTGCAAGTGTATAGCAGAGATGTGCTATTGAGGTTGCTGCCCAAAGGCCCTGGTTTGGTTTTTGTGACCCTCGTAGTGTTCAGGAGGTCTCAGTTATCAGCAGAGCGCAGTTGTGTGTGCAGGGTGACGATTGGAGATCGGGTTCTTTGTGCCACGCTGCCTTGCCTGGGTCACAGATAGAGAGCTGCATTAAAGACCCCTGAAATACTTCATTATCAGGTTTTGTCTTCCCTGTGAAGAGTGTGGTGAAATTTCATGTATGGCTTGGACTTGCACTACTTGATTCCAAGCTGGTACTGCCTGCTGGGATTCCCTTGATAATGTACAAATTTATGCTAATCATTTGCACAAGAAATACTTAGTAATAGTTTCACCATTACTGCACAAGTGGTAGTAGCTATTCTATATAAGGGTTTTTTTGCCAGTTGTGGAAAGCTAGTTATCTGTTCTGGTAATGCTTTTCATATTTCCCTCTTCAGTGAGCATAGCTGATGGTTGAGGTTTTATGTGGTTATTAGAGAAAGTTTTAAAACAAAATAATACCTGCAAGTAATGTGTGTGGCATTAACAGTTCTTGCCCATAATACACTAAAATGTGCTGTAAAGCCATGTGCTGGCATGTATCAGGTGACTTTGTTCTCCTTTGTATTTGGTGTCATCTGACTAACTCAGTTTTTTATTAGCTCTTAGCTAAAAGGCTGATTTTTCCAGTCCTTGTTTACTTTTCAATTCACAACTATAATAGTTGGTATGGTATAAAATCTTAGATACTGGAATTTCTGTGTAATGACATCTTTTGTTAATGAAGGTTCATTTTGTTCAAGTAGATCTTCCTCTGCCTTTACAAGTGAACAAATCATGGTAATTTTCTAAACTTTGTTTACATATCTGAATTTGTTAGTTATACAGTTTGCTAGTACAACTCTTATCTCTATCCACAATTCATAAACTAAAAAGGAGGAAACAAAACCCTGAAATCAAACCATCAGCATTTCACTTTTGGTTGAGGGGGCTTTTGGGAGCCTCTGAATGGGCAGTGCTTTTATAAGTTATAGTCCCTGAGCACTTGACCATGTGAATAGATAGTATTTTCTTTCTGTGTAACTTAAATTTTTCCTTCATATGAACTCGAGCTTGTGCTAGGCAATGAGAGAGGTTATTGCCCTCCTGGCTACCAGAGCTTTAAACTGAAATTAGTGTCTTGATCAAACCCTCCAGTGTCTAAGCTACATAGAATGCAGTTATGGAGTGTACCCTTGCACAATATCCTGCTGGTTCTCAGGTGCTTAAAGGAGTTGTTCTAGTCCTTTCCATGCGCCAGCTTTGGCACCTGTCCAACTGTGCAGAGGGCCAGCTCATCTTATTAATTGGATCACTGGGCCTGCAAGTTGAAGCAGCAGTTTGTACGGTGAGCTGAGTGCCACAGCCAGCACAAAGAGCAGAGCTTTGAAGAGCTGGGGAATGACACAGCTGCAGCAGAATTCTTGTACTGCTTCAACTGTATTACCTACTGCACCTTAAAAAGCCAGGATGTGCCTGCTTTGTGGGTGGCAGTCTCTGATAGAGGAGAGGACAGGGCTGCTCAAAGTTGCCAAGTGTATTTCAGCAGTGACTGCCTGAAGGCCAGGATCTGGCCTCGAGTGCCAAACATTTAGATATGCAGCATGTGAGCCTTTCCTAGGCTCTCTCTGTGAACCTAATCTGCTCTGCATGCATGGGAGCTGGTGAGGGGGTGTGGAACTTTTAGCTGTGGAAGTATCAAGTACATCAGCAAAAGACTGATCTGCAAGGAGATCACTGTATGAGAGCTGGCCACCAGCTTTATGTTCACCTGAACCTAACTTCAGTGTTTGAATGGATGTGTGCTTATACATTTGTAGTAGGTGCAGACTGTTGGAGAAAGGGTGATTCAGGCATCTGGATTGCTTGTTGGTTTCTTGCCTGTATCTATTGAAACACCTTATTTTTAGCTAGTTATAGTTCAATTGGTGAAACACACTGTGCTAAAATATGTAAAATGTAAATATGTTCTAGCTGCAAAGCTAGAACAACTGCCCTGCTTGCCTCTTTACCTTAAAACTCAGATCTGTGAAACTAAAGTTATTGGTGCTTCATGCACTCTGTCTGAACTTGAGCTGAAGATACACTTCCCTGACACAAATCCTTCCTTAGCAAAGATGGTCTAAGAGACCTTGGCACTCTCTTGAGCTCCATGGCAATTCAGGTTTCTCTAAGTTGGCTCTCAGCTGATGGACAGTGTTAGACTGGTTCCAGTCACTGAGGCAGAGAAGTTTGGGATTATGTACTAGAAAATTAGTGTTTAAACTGTTGGGGTAGTTCACCCTCAGATTATTTTCATTGCTGTCTCTGCATTATCTGTTGCCAGCAGGTGTTCTTGATCCTTTCTCCCACCCTTGGCTAGCCTTCCCTCAGTAAAGCCTGTGCTAATGGTACTCAGGCTGCACAGGGAAGTGCTGGAATCTCCACCCCTGGAAGTGTTTCAAAGGCATGTGGATATGACACTTGAGGGTATGGTTTACTAGTAAATGATGGTGCTGAATTAACAGTTGGATTTGATGATCTTAGAGGTCTTTTCCAGCCTTAATGATTCCATGATATCCATGAAAACATGTTGTTTTTCTGGAGCAAGTATGGTAGGAATGAGTGTTGCTTGATTTAGTTCTTTGAAACGGCCCATCTTTCATTAGTGCTAATGCTGCCAAGAGAGGCTGAGAATTGGAGCTGGGGAGAGGGGTGGGAGTGTGCTGGGTACCCGTTTCAGTAGCTCTTTGCACTGATCCTGCTTTCACAGTTACATTAAATGTGTTACCAGAGCTGTCAGACTGAACCCCTGACCTGTGGAGTGTGTTTTTCCAAAGTAAACGGTGGTCCAGGGCAGGAGCTGCAGCTTCTGAAGTACAGCAAGGAGCCAGTCTGCAGAGAGGGGGATGGAGATCCCTTGGGATGTCCAAAAGAATCATCACAGACATGCAGCCCGGGCTAACTTGCTGTAACACCAGTGCAGCAGTGTCAGTAGCTGCTGCCTTGGGGTGAGGCTTTTGGGGCCCAGTGGAGGGAGGGTTCACTTTGTGACCTGGGAGAGCCCCAGCACTGAGGCATTTAAAGCAGCTTGTCCAGCATGTGAAATGCAGCACACAGAACAAATGGGCTTCATGGTATTCTTATTTTTATCTGAAGCTGGATAGGTCCTTGAGAGCACTATCAGTGCTTGTATGTGTGTGCAGTTGGGTCCTTGGAGAAAATATTTCTGTGAAAGAATTATTGGTGTAAATATTACCTTGGAATGCTCATTAGCAGAAGGTTTATTATGCAGAGCCCTTGGTCCTTAATTCGTGTTTAGCATTGCAGTATCTTAGGAAAAATAAACCCTATTTCATATCTGCAGTGGCTCTTTGACCATGGCCTAAGGGTCATCCTTAGGCATGTCTTAATCACAGAACACAATTTTTTATAGAAACTTTGATGGTTTAAACGATATTTAGGGCAGTTTAAGCAGTTTTGAGTACTCAAAGGCCAAAGAGCATTTAAGAAAAATATTCCTAAGTGCAAGTTGTCATCAAAGCTTAAAAGTTCTGCAAACTAAGGAAGAAATTACAAGTGGTGATGATGGTTATGGGTTCCGTTTGGCCTTGATTTATATGCTAAACTTCCTGTTTTGGGCTTACAAAACATTGGTTGTCCATGCACAAAATCTGAAGTCAGAATAAAATGTCTTATGTGACATGTGTAGTGGTTAGGAACACTTAGTCACAACAATCTTTTTTTCTAGGTTGCTATTATTTTAGTGGATTTTTTTTAAAGCATGTTGTATTCTGCTAAGGAGAATTAATTATTAGCTATATTGCATCTTTTATACATTAAAGTAACAATCCCACTGTATATTTTCTCACTTATACATATTTATTAAAAAAAAAAAACAGTTTTTTTTCTGATAGTGCTCCTGTTACGTAGACACTTTTTTGCCTTTATGGAAAAGAAATTGGAATATCAGTGGTAGAGTCAGGTGGAAGCAATGCATTTGTTTAAAAATACCATTATATTAGGAGAGGGGGGGAAATGTCTAATCTTTTTTTTTTTTTTCTTATTCAGGAATAAAAAACTACTCCAACTGGCCTACCATCCCACAAGTGTACCTCAATGGTGAATTTGTTGGTGGCTGTGATATACTCCTCCAGATGCATCAGAATGGAGATCTTGTAGAAGAGCTGAAGAAACTAGGAATCCGTTCAGCACTTCTGGATGCAGAAAAAGACCAAGAGAAAAAGTAAAATGAGCAAAAAAAAAATGCTGTGACAGGAATAAAGCAAATCTTTGATAAGAACTTGTTGCCCATAAAGCCTTACATACTTTATGTCGAGGAAAGCATCTGTTTGAACTGACACTAAGTGAATGTCTCTTAGCTCATGATAAATGTAGTGATCTTGGTATTTTGATTTATGGATATCGTGAAAATTTGAGTATAACCACTGCACTGTAAAGCAAACATTTGTGAAAATTTGTATTTTAAAAAAGTTCACTTCTAAAAGCACTCTTTTTCATTGAGGTGGGAGAAAACCAAAAGAACTAATAATATTTTTATGGGTTTTACATGTGTGATTCTCTGTTCTTTGATACATGAAGCTATACAAACAGCATTTGCATTCCCTTGCTTCTCTTGAAAAAGCATTAAGTAATAGTGCATCTGTTTTTCTGTCTAAAGTCTGGTGATAAGATTTCCTGAGAGCCTGTAAAACCTGTGTAATCACATACAATATAGGAGAAAAACAGTTTTCCAACAATATAGGAGAAAAAAGATTATGTGAGAGTGCATGATATATACTTTTATTCCAAAGGGTAAAAATAAACAGAACTTGTACAAATACATGTATAGTGGTCATTATTACTTTGTAACTTTCTGATGGCTTTTAAAACTGCTAAGAATTGTGCCTAAATATTTTATAAAACCTTTTCTACCTCTTGCAAAACAGCTTTTCCCCATGCTTATATACTTTGTGTATGGGAGTTCTGTGTCAGTGGTAAAATGTGGGAATTATTTAAGGCTTCGGTATTGTAGCTTGAAATAGTACAGGAGAATACTTCAGTTATTACTGTAATCTTGTATTATTTGCTTGTTATATTTTTTATATTTTTGTGTTTCCAAGTGTTTTCTCGTGACTGATGTGCTCAGGAGAATATAGTCTTCAAACATGGGGTTTACAGATTAAATGTTCATGTGGGTGGGTGCAGCAGAAAGGTTACTGAATGGATCAATATTTTTTTGTGGAATGTCTCTGAAGTGTTCAGTACCTACCTAACCACATTTCTCTAAATTAAAACAAATTATATTAACCAGTGTAGCTTCAGCTCTCTAGCAATACTGCTAAGATTAAAAGCTAACCAAGCTATTTTTAAATGCAGTGTAATTAATATAAACCAGTCTGCATGTGAATTAGGCAAATGGTTGGAAATAAAGTGTTTTATGTTGTCTGCAGTAGTTGCTCTTTATTTTAAATGTCTAATGAAACTGATGCTACTTTTGATTTGAAGCCTAAGATGTTTTCCTCTGCATGGGATATAAAATGTGTTCTGGAGAAAGATTATAAATGGTCAGTGAAAGACGAGAACAGGACTGGAACCTGTAGACAGTAGAGATTTGATGTAAGTTCTGGTTCTAAATCTCTCTTGCCCACTTGAGCTACCAGTGGCGAAACTATACTAGAACATTCTGCGCAGGATTTGCCAAACTGGTAACAGGAAGCTCACTGTATAGTTGTAATGCAGTCAGGGTCAGCAGGATCAGATACAGTGTGTGTGTTGTGTGTATTCACTGTACCACAGCAGGTCTGTGGAGGTCTCTGTGTGGCCACTGTGTAGGAGGAGGTTCCACTTGGGGCAGTCACTCGTGGCGGTAAGGCACGGAGGTGTGAGCACAGGATTTTTTCTGTTCACGTGCCACATCTCATCATGCAAAGCTGAAGGTATCGATGAAGGTTTGTTCTGAGCATTTGAATTCAGGTTAAATGAATTATGGCTAATCACAAGTAGTTCTTGCCATTCTGAATGTAAAAGAATGTTTTAAAAAAGAAGTAAATTTCAAAAGTCTTTGGTTATTTGCATTGACCTATTGAAATAAATGTACCCAGTAAACAAAAAGGTAATGAAGAAAATTTAATTATTTTTCTGCTTCAATAGTTAACTCTTAGTCTGACTACTAAATAAATCTATAAAAAAAAAGACTCCCCCAAATTTGCTGTTTCACAGCTCTCTAGTTTTCTGCACAAGCTGAATATTTTTTAGTAATATCTGTCAGCAATTTAACATAAAGGGAACTTCAGCATTGTTAAGTAGTCTTTATTCTCTATGCAACAATTTTTTTCTCCCAGCACGAGTTCCTGCTTTTAAAAACCATGAAAGTTTTCCTGCTTTCTTCCCCTCTTCAGATTTTAATTACTTGATTAAGCCTTTGCATAACATACATAGTAGTGTTTATATCAATCTCTGCGTGACTGGAACATGTTATTGAGCAAGTAACAGCAACAGTGGTTCCATGAAGTGCGTGTGACAAAGCCACAGTGGGGAATGAAGTTGGGACTTCTGCCTGCCTTCCTGTGCAAACCGTACATTTCTAGCCAATGTGTGCATGAGCAGTTGTTCTGCATTTATAAAAACGATCATGTTAAACCAGCTGCAATAAAAATAATTACCATCTTCTTAAATTGTAAACTTCAGATGCTCACAAAGAGCTTTATTTTGTTGTTGACTATTTTCCCCAAGAAACTAGTTCTAGGGGATCATTTTAGAAGATGGGCAGTATTGTGCACTCTGCTCATCATCTTCTGCTGTCCCTCAAATTAGAGGCAAAAGGGCACATAAGCTTCCAATCTCAAAGGAATGCTACAGAGAAACTTAATTTTTTTGAGGAAAAAACCCATGCCTCTCTTGAGAGATTTGCACCTGCTTTTCTCCTGCTCTTAGGCAGTGGGACAAGGTAACTGATAATACCTGAGTATGGGGTGACTACCAGTGAGTATGCTGAGCTCATACTGGGGACCTGGTGCCAGCTGGAAGGATCCATGAGGAATCCTTGGTCAGGAGGATGTGACAGGTTCTGTGGAAGAAAGGGTGACTTTTCTCCCCAGGAGAAGCAGCTTGTCACAGGAGGTAAGGGAGGGGATGGGGAAGCTGCTGCAGCTGCTTGCTCATCCTGGATTCCTCTGCTGTGGAGTGAAGACTGAAGAGGTAACAGTGGTCAAAGAGAGTGCCTTGGGCAGGCCAACTGAAGTTGCTGGGGTCAGCCAAGAGCAAAAACAGGGACCTGCCATTGCCATCTTTGGTGAGGAGAGAGGCAAAACTGCCTGGTCTTGAGCTGGGTCTGCTGTGGTAAGGATAGGGCGGGTGGCAGGGCTGTGCAGGAGCATTGCCACCTGCAGGACTTCTGTGGATCAGGGTTGGGTGTGTGGAGCTGCCAGTCCCATTCCTGCTCTTTGTTCTTGTGTGTTGTGCCAGGCAGGAGTTCTGGCTGCCTGCTTCTCTGGTGGGATGCTGCTGGATCCATCTTGGTTGGATTGCCCTGCTGAGAGCTTACAGTGAGATACTTGTGAATGCATATAAACTTATGGAGGATTGTTACTCTATTATAGGGTTGCAGTATGAGCGTTTGCCAAACTGGGAACCATTACTGTAATTATTTATATTTTATTCTGAGGATGCCCTTGGTGTTGTTACTGTGCTAAAAGGCTGCACTGAGTGGACCAATTTATCCACCAGATCATATATTAAGACAATCTTTTCTATTTGCTAGCACTTCATACCTCTTTGATATGAAACAAGGTGATTTGGTTTAAGGAAATGAAATTGTTCATATTCCAAAGCTGATCTACGTTGCTCTCTTATTGCAAAGGTTTCGTACACTTCTTGGTGATTTCTCATGGGCAGCTCCTCACAGTACTGACTCCTTCTCCTCAGCACAGCCAACAAACTCCATCTAACTTGTCAACCAGCCAACCTACTCTTTTACAATACCCATCCTAATTGGATCTAGCTGTGGCCTATTAAGGGCAGGTCTGTTCCTAATTCTTGATAATAAGGAGTTACAGCTGTAACTCCTTAGGGGTGAGATTACCTTCATCACTATATCTATTTTCCTACATTCCACCCATTCACAGATCTACTGTCTTAAACCTTCACCAAAGCAGGGTATAAGTTTCTTTGCTCTTCTTGAGCTGTCCTGGTAAGGAGCAGAAGGAAGCAGGTTGCAAGCACTTGCTTTTGTCCTGCTAATTTTGTGTTGGGAGCATTAAAATCAATTACCACAAAAGTTGTTTTCCTGAGAAAACAGCTGTTAACAGCTTGGCATATTAACGGGTTACACAGCAAGTGCATTTCTCAACCCTAATGACTTGCCTTAATTTTGCTACCAAATGTTTGGACATGGTCATTATTCTTCATTGCTTGTCTGCTCTGAAAAAATAACTTTATACCATCTAAATGCCCTGAAATACTTAAGTGGCTTTATTTTAGCTCTGACATGTAGACTTATTTTCATGTTGTCACTGAGTTCTCTGGTTCGCTTTAAAAAGTAGGCTAGAAATCTTTGGCAGGAGTTTTCTGGGACTCTGTCAATACTAACAAAGTGCATAGAAAACAACCAAGCTTGAGAACATGAAATCGAAGAATTGTAGCAAAGAAAATCTCTCCTGAGCTGTCACCAAGAATCCCAGTAAGACCCTGGCAGTGCCTGCCTCTAAGGGCAATAATAAAAGCAGAGCTGGCAGCCTGATCAATAAATCCCTGTCTAATCTGATTTGCATGTCCCTTCTGCAGAAACCAGATCTTCTTACACAGGTTTGTTCAATATCCATATTACAGGACTGTGGAAGAAAAAACCACTCATTAGTTACAAGATACATGTCACCTGTAAGTTAAGGAATCTGTGAGCAAAGGTGGAAAGACAATAAGGAAAGGTAAAGAGAGTGGAAAGGGTTTGGATTGCTAATGGTGCTGGGTGGTAGGTCAAGCTTGCTTTTGGGCTGAAAGAGTTGACATGAACACACTGCTCTGTAAAGGGCTGTGGTTCATTATCCAGTTTTGGATTTTCCTTTGGGATGCTGCTTGTTTCATTTAATAGCTCTGTTAAAGCAGTGCTGTCTCTGATGTGACCTGATCATGGCCTCACTGATTTAACTACTTGAGGCCTTTCCTGGAATCTCCCAGGGAAAGTAGGTTTTAGTTACACAGAAAACAGGACTAAAATGGCTAAGTGGATTCAGGTTTTATTTTCAACAATTTTTTTCCAATCATCCAGCTTCTTGTTGTGCCTTGTTTTTCTGGAAGTAAAGGAGTAGGCCAGGAGCAAAGGGTTTCAGTTAGAAGGACCACGGCACTCCATAAAATCCATGGTAGTCATAGGGTGTAACTGAGATGAATGCACAGTGCTGTATGTAATCAACAAGCATTTGTATCTTCCCAGTTTTGAGGATCTCATCTTAATTGGACCATAGAAATGCTGGCAGAAGAGCAGGCTGCTGGCTTATACTCCCCTTTCAAGAAGAAACAAACCCCTTTAAGGTGCAGGTGGTGACGGTTTATAATTACCTAAGAAGAATCCAAAGGACAAGTTCAATATGAATTTTGAAACAACTTTGCCTCTAAAAGATGTTAATTTAGCAAAAACAGGGAAATTTTTTTTTTTCTTTTCATTGTTGCAACAGTTTTATACAAAAAGCCGCGAGACTGTTCCTGCACAGGTGCAGGCATGTATGTCTGTATTTATAGTTACATATTGTCCCTCCTAACTTAAAACTTGCACGAGGGACCTACTTAGAATTTTTAAAGGTGAACTTCTGTAAAATTTTGCCAGGCATTTAACAGTAAACTAAGTTA